ACCGTTTTATTAAAGCAATAAGCCCCAAGAAGCCGTGGTTTACAGTGAATTTATAACAGCTAAGCACGACGCGAAGCATCTATATACGTAGTAAGATTTCACAAAATAAAACAGAGCAAATAAAGTGTAATGATATTAATAAAAACAGTATTCTTCCACCAAACAATGTAGCTCCTCAGAAACAGTTGTGGTTGCAACAAAGTGGTTGCCGAGCAACAGACAAACGTAAATAAAGGTGTATGTTACTTTGTAGAGTCATTTACAACAGCTTTGAACGCAGCTCAGCCAATCAGAATCAAGAACCGGAACTCTCCGCTTTATAAAAGTGAAAGTTTAACTTGAAGAAATTATGACAGAAAAAGTAACGTGCTTCTCAAATTAGTAAAAAAAATGCATTATGTTAATGTTTTTATGGTATATCAGACCATCAAGAGTTTTCATTCATGTTTTAATTTAACCAGTACGCTTCCGTTGTGCAGAACTGAGAAAAAAAGAAGAAAATAATTTTAAAAATATACAAAATAAATAATAAAATTAGTGCTGCCAAACGATTAATCGCATCCAAAATAAGTTTTTGTAATATATGTGTGTTCTGTGTATATTATGTATATATAAATACACGCACATGCATGTATATATTTTAGAAAAATGTTATGTTTATATATTAAATATATTTATATATAAGTTATATAAATATAGACATGTAAATACAAGTAAATATTTTCGAAATATATACTGTATGTGTGTGTATTTATTTATACATAATAAATATACACAGAACACACACATATATTATGCAAACAAACACTTTTATTTTGGATGCGATTAATTGTTTGACAGCACTATATAAAAAAAATAAAATTGCTTGTTTTCTCGTAAATAAATTGTTGTATTTTCATTGAATTATCTATTAAAGGCTTGATTAAACTGTACAAGTTTAATGAATTGTATAAATATGATCCATATTAAATCATAAAACAAAATCGAGCAGAACCGATTGTCCAAATGAACCAATTCAGTAAAATTAATCAGAATTGTGTGAGAAAGATTTTTTTTCCACGTTCTTCAATAAAAAACATTTTTTGCCAGAAAAAGTAATTATGACAGAAAAAGTAAAACGTGCTTCTTAAATTAATAACAACAATAAAATATATTTAAATATTATTTTTATTTAATATTTTAGAAAGTCAAAATATTTTCTTTCACATTTTATTTATAGAGTAAACCTGTGTTGGGCAGCACTTAATAATAATAATAATAATAATAATAATAAATAAACAGTAATAAAATATAAAAAATGCTTTGTAGTAAAGTAATTGTTGTATTTTCATTTGATTACATATTAAAACAGATTAAATACAAACAACCAAAAAACAAACTTCATTGAGAGTCATGAGCCAAAAATAAATATTGCATCATATCCAATTATATTGCATTAAAATGTATTAAATTAAGTTGTTTTTTAATGATTAAACTAAAATTTAGATAGCAATTATTTGTCATTTTTTAAATAATTTGTAAATCAAATTCTCTTATATTATTTTTAATAAAAATATTACAATAAAAAAAATATATCATAAAACACAAAATTAAAAATTATATATATATATATAATTTGTATATAACAATATATCAATTTGAAATGAAAATATGCTTCAATGGCATGTTTTTCCCCTCCTCTTATGATGTCATGATGGGCCAAAACCAAAAGCCAGCTTTGGGCATCTCTGGATTCATTCATAAAAGCAGAAGAGTTTAATGTGAGGAAAGCATCACTTGACACTAAAGCATCAAACAGAAGCAGAGAGCATCGTGGTGTCTGACCTGTGTCAGGTGGGATGACGGGGCTGCTGTGGTGTGGCAGGTACTTAAACACACGGATGTTGGGAAACGGTAGGTGACCCGCGAACAGCGGCATGACCTCCATGTGAACCTTGTGTGTCGCCATGGCAGCCACCGGCATGGAAACGACCCCTGAACTCTTCCCGCACACCGCCCAGTTACTGTTGTTGTCAATCACTGCAGACACACACACACACAAACACAAACACAAACACAGGTAATCATCTCGATTATTTATACAACTAAAGCCAAACACTAAAGGAAAACATCCTTACATTATTAAAAAATTATGATTCAAAATAAAGTATAAAAAAGTATTAAATAACTTTACAGTACAACAGCATTATTAAAATGTATAATTTTTTTGTTTACATTTTTAATAATAGTAATAATAACAAAATCATTATTATTTTAATAGTCATGTTCAACTTCAATTAAGTATTAGCAGATGCAAGACCTTAAATACCTAAAAGACCATATATTAGTGCTGTCAAACGATTAATCGCATCTAAAATAAAAGTTTTTGTTTGCATATGTGTGTGTGTACTGTGTATATTTATTATGTATAAATAAATACACATACAGTATACATTTCAGAAAAATATATGTTAAATATTTTATATATAAAATAAAATAAGAAAATATATATATGTAAATATTTTCAAAATATTTACTGTGTGTATACAAACATAATAAATATACAAAGAACACACACATATTATGTAAACAAAAACTTATCTTGGATGCGATTAATCATTTGACAGCACTAATATAAACAAATAAATAAATATGAAATATACAAAAAGTCTGGAAAACATAACAACATACTGTACATTTATACACTAAACCTCTGTTTTGCAGCACTTAATAAAAAAATAAAACGGCAATGTTTTGTTCTAAAGAAATTGTTGTTTTTTAATTATTAGCTTTTTATTAAATCACAAGTCCTAGTTGGGAAAACGTATCACAGCACAATTAAACCTAAAATATTAAGCTATACAGTAACCTCTGATTTGTAGCATTTAATAAAATAAAAGGAAAATAAAAATAGAAGTAAAAATAAAAAATGCAATGTTTTGTTGTAAAGGAATTGTAGTATTTTAATCAAATTTTCATTTATTATATTTTCACAAAGTGTTTTAGCGCTAAAACTAGCTCCTAAATCTGTGAAAGGTTAGGAGCAATGAAGAGGACTCCTAAACCACAAACTATCCTAAAATAGCTGTTTCCGGCAATCTGCCTCTGAACGTAAACATTTTAGAAACACGTTGCATTTATTTGCACACATATGTTTTCACATGCATCTTTTTTGGTTTTGAAGGTTATCCCAACTCCAAATTTCTATTCACAAAGCTGCTGAGACAAACTTGTACTAAGGAATAGAGAGAAGTCTTAAGCTCAGAGTAAGGGGGCGGGGCTGAGCTTGTTACTATGGGTGATGTCAGCGTGCTTATTAACTATGCACACAGTGATTGTCCTCCGCACAATCTGACCGCAGAGGAAACACAGAAGCTGCGTCTGAAGTGGCATTTAGTATTATGTATTTACACACTGTTTAATGCAGCTGTGAGAGACATGGTAACCTGCCGTTACAAAAACATAAATAACATTTTGATATTTTAAACATAACGTCAAATACTGATATTTGAAATTATTTAAAAATTAAAAGAAACTTTAAATGTGAAATTAAAACCGCCAGTAGGTGGCAGCAAGTCACTGTTAATAAGCGAGTCATTGCGATTGAACCGAATCATTTAAACAGTTGATTCATTCAGGAACCAAACACCGTCATGTTGCTCAGAGACGCAAAACAGTGCTGTGGCTGTGTTTGGAATTATTTCTGTTTTTTTAATAAAAATATTACAATAAAAAAAATATATCATAAAACACAAAATTAAAAATTATATATATATATATAATTTGTATATAACAATATATCAATTTGAAATGAAAATATGCTTCAATGGCATGTTTTTCCCCTCCTCTTATGATGTCATGATGGGCCAAAACCAAAAGCCAGCTTTGGGCATCTCTGGATTCATTCATAAAAGCAGAAGAGTTTAATGTGAGGAAAGCATCACTTGACACTAAAGCATCAAACAGAAGCAGAGAGCATCGTGGTGTCTGACCTGTGTCAGGTGGGATGACGGGGCTGCTGTGGTGTGGCAGGTACTTAAACACACGGATGTTGGGAAACGGTAGGTGACCCGCGAACAGCGGCATGACCTCCATGTGAACCTTGTGTGTCGCCATGGCAGCCACCGGCATGGAAACGACCCCTGAACTCTTCCCGCACACCGCCCAGTTACTGTTGTTGTCAATCACTGCAGACACACACACACACAAACACAAACACAAACACAGGTAATCATCTCGATTATTTATACAACTAAAGCCAAACACTAAAGGAAAACATCCTTACATTATTAAAAAATTATGATTCAAAATAAAGTATAAAAAAGTATTAAATAACTTTACAGTACAACAGCATTATTAAAATGTATAATTTTTTTGTTTACATTTTTAATAATAGTAATAATAACAAAATCATTATTATTTTAATAGTCATGTTCAACTTCAATTAAGTATTAGCAGATGCAAGACCTTAAATACCTAAAAGACCATATATTAGTGCTGTCAAACGATTAATCGCATCTAAAATAAAAGTTTTTGTTTGCATATGTGTGTGTGTACTGTGTATATTTATTATGTATAAATAAATACACATACAGTATACATTTCAGAAAAATATATGTTAAATATTTTATATATAAAATAAAATAAGAAAATATATATATGTAAATATTTTCAAAATATTTACTGTGTGTATACAAACATAATAAATATACAAAGAACACACACATATTATGTAAACAAAAACTTATCTTGGATGCGATTAATCATTTGACAGCACTAATATAAACAAATAAATAAATATGAAATATACAAAAAGTCTGGAAAACATAACAACATACTGTACATTTATACACTAAACCTCTGTTTTGCAGCACTTAATAAAAAAATAAAACGGCAATGTTTTGTTCTAAAGAAATTGTTGTTTTTTAATTATTAGCTTTTTATTAAATCACAAGTCCTAGTTGGGAAAACGTATCACAGCACAATTAAACCTAAAATATTAAGCTATACAGTAACCTCTG